AAGCAAATCCTGGGCCGAGGTGGTGGCTCACGCCTGTAATCCTACCACTTTGGTAGGCCCACGCGGGTGATTGCCTGAGCTTGTGGGTTCGAGAACAGCCCCAGCAAGTGTGAGACCCCATCTCCAAAAAATAGCTGGGCATTGTGGTGGGCAAAGGTAGTCCCAGCTACTTGGGAGGCTGAGGCAAGAGAATCGCTTAAGCCCAAAAGTTTGAGATTGCTGTGAGCTATGACAGCATATCATTCTACAGAGGGCTATTTAGTGAGACTCTGTCTCAAAAAAAAGAAGAAGAAAAGAAAATGGTGATGCAAGCTTTATCTTTTAGCTCCATGGGGCAATTTCCTTTGACCCCTGAGAATTTTAGGCTTGGATGCCCTTGAGCTCAGCTGCTTCAAGCAGTTACCAAGCCTTTGCAGTATTTCCAACCAACAAGTAAAGAACAAAAGCAACCTCATTTTTTAGGACTTGTGCACTTAAGGTAAAAAAGATAATGTGAAAGCTGACATGCTCTCAGCAGTCCCAGTCAAATTGAGCCAGAGTTTCTCTAACACTGCACCATTCAAGATGTGCACCCTCCACTGGGAATATCACTGCCCATCTTGTAGATAATTTTATAATCCCAAGACATTCATTGTCAAATATAGTGAAATAGTCTGTGTCCATGGGAGTCCTATCCCCACTGCCTTCATACGGACTCAGAGAGTTAGGCTCAACAACAGCCTTCAGAGTGTCTGGAATTTTTTGGACTACCAATGAAATACGTAATGGTTAATTGCTTACATTTCCCAATCGATGGCTTTTTTGAACTTTATATGGTGGTGACACCTTTGACTCAAGCATGTAAACCTTTCCCTAGGAAAGGAGGTCTGACAATTAAGTTCACAAACTCATCCTTGAAGAAGTGCTACGTACCCCATTGCTAAATATCACTATGGTCACCTTCAAGGTGCTCCAATGGGAAGCTGTGCACCAGTGCCCAGTGCCCAGTGTCAGCCCACAAATATCATACAACTTGATGAGAGAGCCAAGTTTATTTATGCAGGCTGTAAAATGTTGTCACCTCTGTAATGATGACTTACAGCGACAATCTTATACCTTCTGTACATCATGTACTTCCAAAATTAGTCAGTGGAGGACTGAAGCTGCCCAAGATAGATGGGTACTTTCAGTTTAACTGCTTGTGATTTGCGTTTTGAAGTATCCTTCAGTTATGATTCCATTTGTGGGTTTGTCAGAAATATTGCTTTGACCCAAGATTAATAGCGATTTATTTGTTTTTTAAGGGGCTGCAGTCTTGCAGTGATATCTGGAGTTCTCTATGGGTCTACATTTGTGCCAATCATTTATATCAAGGACCACAGCAAAAGAAATGACAGTGTGTACGCTGGGGCAAGCCAATATGGTGAGAGTAAAGCTATTTTACTTTATAAAAAAGTCCTTAATATTTATTTTTATGACCATTTACTATCACCATGAGAATTGTGGTAATAGTAAATATTAATATGTATACTGGCTCTTACCTCCATTGTAAGTGGTGAACAAGAAAGTCAATGAAGACTAATAGAAATAAAGGAGTATTCAGAGTATTTTTGTATGATTTTTAACATACAATCACGATTAATTTTGGTCAGGATTCATTTCAGCTACTTGGATCTTAACAGATGGTTTCTGGCTTTCCAATAATGTTTGGAGATTCTTTTCTAGTTAGATGATGCCTGGGAAATTATGTATTCTTTTGCTCTTTTATGAAAGGCTAAAATGTAGTACATAGAACTTTAAAATCAAGTAAAGATCAAAGTGCAGCCTTAGTAAAGGTCAAAGTGTAGCTATTTACTCAGAAGATATTATTTTTCAAGCACAGAGTAGCAAATTGGAAGACCCAACCCAAACCTTCCTGTTAATAACTCACTTTCCAGCTAGAATTAATCTCTCAGGAGTAAACTCAACACTACGCCCAGTCGCCTTGTACGTGCTCAAAAGGAGAAGAGGGAGTGTTTACTTTGGGGTCCTATAATTAAGTTGCAGCATGGCTTACACCCAGGAAATGATAAGAGAATGAAATTATTGATGAAATAAAGCTCTAAATCAGGTGGCACAGAAAATTAATGTGATCTGTGTTCAGGTAAGGCAGAAGTTTGGAGGGCAAAGGCATGAAAGATTGATAAAGAACGTGAAATAGGAACTCAGCTTTCACAGTGGAGAGATTCTGCGTAGATGCCCTAGTTTCCCCTTCCATTTACCATTTAGCCCTTAGACACAGTACTCAGACCTTTTTCTTTTTTTTTTTTACTTCTTTCTTTTGTTAAGATTAATACAAACACTCTTTTATATTTTTATAAAAAAGAATAAAAAACTGATACAAACAGAATAACATAGAAACAATTAAAAGAGAAGGAAAAAAAAGAATGGGAAAAATAAAAGGAACCAGGAATGAACCTAAAAACTTGGCACCACCCTTGTATACTCGCTAGAAATGAGCTATAAATTTGGCTCGTAGGTTTCTTGTAGCCACAAGGGAAATCAGATGGGTCCCCTGATTCGATGAGCATAAGATAAAAGCAAGTAATTGTTCAGGAGTACAGTTGTTCTTGGTCCTGGGGCATAATAAACAATGTCCTCAAAAACCTCTTTAAATAAAGAGAACAATGAGTTCTCAGACATCTAGCTTATGACAACTCTGAATGTAATGTGATAGGACACTTTGTTCCAGTTTACTCTAGAATGATTTTTTCAATTTTGTTTATTTAACAAACACAGATGCAGTATGTGTTGTATCCTAAGGACTTTACAAATACTTAACTCAGTTAACCCTCATAGCGACTGATGCCATTATTCTCTTAGTTTCACAATTGAGAAATGATTTGTCCAAGCCCTAAAGTTAGTGAGTAGTGGAACGAGGATTTGTACTTAACGTGGTGCATGCGTTTAATTGCTGTGTCTTGCTATCTTTTGTGGTAGTCCCTATACAAAGTCCTATTCTGATATGATCCAGAAGTAGGATTGAAGATTTAAAAGAAAAGACAGACTCTCTGTCTTGCAAGCGTTCCTCCATCGATATGGCCATTTGTTATCAAAATTTCAAGTGACAGAAACATTATGTCCAATGTAAGTTTCCCAGCCAACAGCCTGTTGTGCACCCATCTGTGTGGCCAGAGTACCATCTGCTTAAACAGTCAGTGGAGTTAGGGCTTTTCAGGGATTGAGACACCATTATGAGTTATCCACTCCCTTATGGACTTAGGTTTGTAATAAACAACTGAATAAAACCCTCGTTGGAATAACTTCCCAGATGTCCTTCTGGTGACTGTCATTTTGCAACCAAGATGCTGGTCTCTGGATTGATCAACAAACCATATAAAATTAGCTCCCCCCAACTTTTTTCACCTACATTCCCACTGCCATCAAT